AAAACTCCCCCTCCCCTACCAGAGCTGTCTGCCTGCTCTCTGTGAGTCTGTCTCTGTTTTGCTTGGCAGTTCAGTTCATTAAATTCCACATATGAGTGAAATCATGTTGTACTTGTCTTTCTCTGATTGGCTTATTTCACTTAGCATAACTCCATTGCCATACATTGCTGATATTTTTAACATAACCTCATAGTTTAAGGCTTTGTTATTTAACATTACTCAGAAATAAATCTTTTTGAAATCATTCAGCTCCCTCTGGTGGTAAAAAATATTTTTTAAAAATTTTCTTTCAAAAATTGTAGACCCGTTTCCCCTTTTAAAGCAAAACCAGGAACAGAAACCACCCAAACAATAATTGTCATTAAAATACAAATTCTCATATTCTTGTTCTAGAGCCAAGTGGATATGCTGCTTCAAGAAATGGCAGATGAAGCTGGGTAAGAAGTTATTCAGGGGATTTAGTTAATTTTGATTTAGTATCTGGAGGTCCTAAAATTATGTAATGTGGATAAAAATATTTGTCATTGCCACCAATGATCAGAGTTAGGTTTTTGGCCCTAGAAGTTAGTGTTGGAAGGGCCTTTGAAATGGCATCCATCTCTTTGCCATGCTCATAAAAATGTGACTTTGTTCAGATCATTCTATTATTTTCTTAAAAATCTCTGATGATACATTCATTTATGGTGTGATAAGAGATGGAGGAAGGTAATTGAGAAGCAGGAGTGTTTAAATATTTTCTCAATACCTTCTGTATTTATCAAATATAGCAAATGTTTGGATTCTTTTTATTAAAAGAGTCTTCCAAAAGAATTCTTCTGTGATTAGGCCACTAAGTGTTAAGCCCAGTTTGAGTCCTGCAGACTAAGTGATATGTGCAAAATGTCCAGGGGTTTTAAAAGATGGCAGCATTGCATCGTTGCAGGTAGTCATATATATATTTAAGTAAATAATTGACACCCTTTGTTGTACTGTTGTTAGAGATAGGGTATTTTTCAAACCCTTCGTGTTTGAGGGGAATGACTTGCCCATGATAATACCTGTGCTATAGAAGTCATGTTATATCAGTATTCTCTAGTATATTACAGTCTCCCATCTCGAACAGTTTGGTTCTCGACCAAATTGTTCATGGAAAAAAAGTCTCCATTGTCAAACAAAACTTTGAAACTTCGGTTCTCGAACTGATAAGCCTTCCATGCTGATACCTGTATGATCAGTCACATGTCTCTCAGGTGACAAACAAAGGAGAGAATGTGCAAGTAGCTAAACCTTGTGTTGTTAACGTCTCAGGAAATTGTGCTGTGAATATTTTAATATTTTTTTGTTTTTGTTACTGCTTGTTATTATTAAATGTGCACAGTAAGTCATCATGGGTCCTAAGAAGGTTAGTGATAGCAGCAGCAAAGTGAAAAGGAAAGTTGTGAAAACAAGGTTAGAGCTTTAAAAAGAAATACTGTAATTGTAAAGTATGATCGAGGTGTTCACGTGTCTGCTCTGGCTACCTAGTATGACATGGCGAATTGGACGATTAGCACAATTTTAAAACATAAAGAAGCCATCAAGAGTGCTGATGTTGCTAAGGGTGTGAGAGTGCTTGAGAAAAATGATCACAGGCAATTGAGAAAGGTTAGAACGGAATCATTTGGGAGTCTGGAACGGATGAATTCAATTTATACTATTTCTAATGAGGAAAACAATGATTCACTTCTCAATGAAGAAATCACTTTTCAAACAGCTTTCTGGAACGAATGAAGTTCAAGAACCAAGGTTCCACTGTATTTAGTTTAAGAGACCATTGTAGGTAAAGAATAAAAATATATTTTCTCAAAATAAAGATTAAAATTGGGTGATATTGAAGTTTTTATACTTCATCCTCAAAGGTAGAGTAGTAGATTGGAATAGGGTTTATATACTCTATCCTTTTCTCCTGGAAAGGGAAGAATTGAAGACACCCAGAAAATAGAGTTGATGAATATTATTTTAGTGTCTAAGCTAATACCGGATTAGAATGAACAGTTAAGTTTATCAACTGTTTAGATAAGTAATGTATCAATAATGAATTAAAACCCAGGTTAATAAATCAGATTTTGCAATATTTGAGAACAGTCCTGGCGGTTAGGTTGTACACTGTTTTGCTTTGTTAGTATCTTGATGTAGCCCACATACCAACAGGGAAGATAGCAAGAAAGGTGATTTTTGTTAAATAGTTAAGAGACCAAAGCATTGTGTGTCAGAAGACATCATCTTAGTAATATGAAGCTAGTTTTTGTTCCTACCAAAAACAAAATAAGAAGATTGGGCTTGAAAGTACAGCAAAGGAGGTCTTGTAAAATGAATATTGCCACATTACAGCCTTGCTGACCCTCAGTGGAAATCAAGTTCAGTAATAATTTTTTGAGGAGATTTAGAGCAGGATTTCTCAACCTCAACACTATTGACATTTTGGGCTACATAATCCAAGGGGCTATCCAATGCATTGTAGTATGTTTAGCAGCATCTCTGGCCTCTGCCCATAAGATAATATCCCTACCCCATTGTGACAGTCAAAAATTCATCCAGACTTTGCCGAATGTTTCCGGGGATGGGGGGGATGTTGGGGGCCAAAATCAAGAGAAATTAGTTATGTCAGTAATGGATGTTGACTGGAGCAGTAGAAATAGATAGAATCACTAGAAATACTGATACCCATCCTTAAAGATATTTAAGTATCCGAATTCTGTTTGAGTTTATGATTCCCTCAACAAAATTTTAGCATAGCATATCTTTACTTTTATTGTTACTTAAAAGGTAACAACTGTCTGTACACTCTCCTAATGACTTTTAAAGTTACTATATTCCTGTAGTGTTCTCACACTGAAGTTGGCATACACTGGTCTAGATATAGGCAGAAGGCTAGTTTATATCCTAGAGGAGTAGGTGCAATGTAGATTAAAATCACAGGCCTTGGAGGCAGAAAATCCTGGGTTCAAATCCCGTTTATCACTAGGGCGGATCTTGGGCAAGTGAACTTAATTTTTCTACGCTTCAGTTGTATGAGGTGGATGCAAGTAATGATTCCTGCTAAGGGTGGCTCAGGAGCTAGACACACTGAACTTGAAGTTAACTCAAATGTTAGATATGGATCCTGAGGCTACATTTATCTAAACTGTTTTATCTTTTTTTTGGCATATTAAACTTCCTTTATAATAGGAGTTATATAGTAACCTCAGTAAATTGAATATATTGTATGATTTTTATTTTGGTCTTTTGTTCAGATGACCAATCATTTTCCTACCTTTTATTAGCTTTTCTATTTACATTTTTAAAATTTAACCAGTTTTATTTTTATTTAAATTAAGGTAAAATGCTAGGTGGAATATTCAAATTTGCAATAATCCTATTTTATTACTTTTATAATTACATAAAGGAGTAAAATGCCTATATTCACATTCATTTATGCTAATTATTTTTAAATTGTAGCCTTGATCTCAATATGGAACTACCACAGGGTCAGACAGGATCTGTCGGCACCAGTGTTGCTTCCACAGAACAGGTAGAAGTTGTGTTTTATCTTGATTAGTATGAACTTAAAGTGTGAATTAAATACATATTGTATAAATATTTATTTTTATATATATGTAAATGTATATACACTTTTTTTGTAAAGAGTACTTTCTACTATAATATGACATCATGAATTAGCAAACTATGATTAGCCTTTATTTCTCAATAATGGACATTTTCCATTTCCATCCACATTTCATGTAAAGATTGAATTTGCTCCCCTTCATAGTTTCTGCTTTATTTTGTTCTCCGTTTATTCTGGAATATTTTAAAAAGTATATTTTTACTGTTGGTTTTTGTGTGAATTTTTGAGACAATATTTTAATGTCATTTAAAATGTGAGCTATTTAAAATATTAGTGATTTATATTTGTCACAGCCTTCTGACTTTTAAAATTTTCCTTCTTCAGGATGAACTGTCACAGAGACTTGCTCGTCTACGTGATCAAGTGTAAAGAATTGGTGCTTTTTACTTCACCTGCTTCAGAAAAATTTCGTGTGTATATATAGATAAATTGCACTCCAGTTACAAAAGAATGCTTAAATGCTATTTATATTTAATGCTTTCTTTTGCCATCTTGTACTTTCTAATAATTCCAGAGGGTTTTCACCATGACATATTTTAGTTTTGTATATTATGTTGAAAAGCGTGAGGAACATTCTTTTTTGTAGATGACTTTGACCAAGCAAGCATTAGTTTGTTGTATATGATACATTTTCCTCAAAAATTGCATCAAAAATCTGGCAACAAAGTACTACAGAAGAAAGTACAGAATAAAGGTTTTGGTTTCTTTTTAATTCAAAGTTGTTTTGAATCTCTGCATTCACATGCGATGCATAAAAATAAAAGCAGGGAAAACATGTTTACTTAACATGCTTACATAACCCAAAATACCTCAGTTAGTGTCATATGATGGGCAATGCTATTTTTTTTAATACATTTTTTTATCTTTAGAGAGAGAAGGGAGAGGGAGAGAGAAATATTGATGTGAGAGTGAAACATCCATCAGTTGCCTCCTGCATGCGCCCTGACCTAGAATCAAACCAGCAACCTTTCTGTGCATGGGAGAACATCCAGCCAAGCCACACCAGCCAGCGTGACAATGCTGTTTTTTTGTTTTATGTTTTGTGTTGTTTTTGCTGTTCAAGCACAGATGCAGTTGACTTTTATTTTTGTGTTCACCAGCTTTTAAATTTAGGTTATTATTACAATTTTTACCCAGTAATTTAATGACTATTATTTGAATTCCTGAAATTTAAAAAAATTTTCATTGATAATTTTCCAATATAACTAGAAAAAATATACAACATTAAATTAAAGAAATTAAGGTTTGCTCAGTTTTTAAATTTTTTCTTTGCTAAATCACTATTGTTAAGACTCAGAGAAATTTAACCTTTCATACTTTCAAATGAAATTGAAACACATTTTAAATGATTCTCCTATTTCTACTCTACCCTTAGTACACTGTATTTAAAAGATTAATTCACATGGCTTTAATATCATTTACATTTTCCATAGGATTACTGATTGCTTTTTGAAAATCTTAGCCTACATTTTAAAAACAGCCAACAAACAATAACAAAGAAAACAAAATTGAATCTATTCAAGTTACAGCTACCATAAGCTCTGGTCAAATGTATTTTTCCTTTTATCTTAAACATTTTTTAAGTATGTCTTTTTATTGATTTCAGAGAGAGGAAGGGAGAGAAAGAGACATTGATGATGAGAGAATCATTGATCGGCTTCCTCCTACACAACTCTCACTGGGGATTGAGCCTGCAACCCAGGCATGTGCCCTGACTGGGAATCGAACCGTCACCTCCTGGTTCATATGTCGATGCTCAATCACTGAGCCATGCTGGCTGGACTGTTCTTTTATCTTAAGCAAAAACTCTTCAATAACTGGGAAAAATGAAGTAGAAATAAACGTTAGAGTAAAATCTTTTGCCTAGCCATGTGAATAACTTCCAGAGCAATGGAAGTTGGGTGTACAACATAGGGGGTGGGGGACACAGAAAAGTCCTATGGTCAAAAAAAGATTTTGGGGAAAAGCATTTCCATTAGTTCAATTTCCATATTAGAAAATCCATTGTTAAGTCATGAAGGCATTCAAAGTGCAATTATGGAGACTTTTTTGCTAAGTATTCACCATTCATATATGTTTCCTATTGTAAATGAGAGTGTGTATAAATGAAGATTATTTTTACTGGTTAATGAAATGAGAAGTTACTCTTTTGCTAAGTTTCAGTTAAACTTACTTAACTTTCTTGGTACTTGACTATATGGTATGACCTCAGTGTGGTAATCTTTCATTTTGTTTATAATTGATGTTTTATCATTTTTACTGAAAGGGTAAGTTGTTTATATTGGAACATCCTAGGGAGGCATAGATTATTACTGACTAAAATTGCTATGAAATAAGAGTTATCTCATTTTCCATTGGTGGGATTTGTAGCTTTTGTTCTTTTAAATTTAATAAAAATTGTTCGTTGTGAATATGGCTTACCTAAATCTAGAAATATACATGGTTCTGACCTAAAAATAAATATTCATAGTTTTGTTTAACAGCCATATCAGATTTGTTTTTTAAAAACATTGTTCTTTGATTGACACCGAGTTTTACTTTTGGATTTATTGATTACCTTGCAAATATAATAAAAATTTTTTTTTTGCAATTTGTTCTTAGAGCCACGCAACCTGTGAACTCTTACCTCGTTAGTATAAATTGCATTTTTAGTTTGATAAGTGATTTAATAATTGAAAAGTAACACATGCCAGATTATACTATCTTGTATACTGTCTTGAAAGATGGACATCATAGCACCTTTCATTTACCTTCAGTTTTATCAGTCTAATTTTCTCCTGATTTTTTTCTAAGTATTTGATTATATCATTTGAAAGAATATATAAGGTCAAATGCTCAGAAACATTTTACTGCACTTTCACCATATAGACCATGTGCATATTATTTAAAGAGGTCTTAAAAAGTGCCCTTGACAAAACTAATATCCCTGATCCTATTCTTGATGCCTAATTTTTTTTACCTTCCTATGAACCAACCTAGATAAGCATTATGGGCTTTATTATTTTATCTGGTTAATTTATTACCAGTCATTGCTACAGAAAGGAAACAGGAACAGGAGATAGAACAGGTAAATTATGATAAGAGGTGAGTTTTCTTTATAATTTCGAAAGTTATGGGAATGGAACCTCTGACCAGACAATCTAAAGAGAATCTAAGTGTAGTATATCTATAAAGAAAATAAGAACACAATGATTGATAGGATGCCAAAGACAAACTTAGCCTAATTTTTTATGGATTTACTGAAGTTGATACATAAGAGCTCCAAGATAGTCTTAAATTGGCTCTAGTGTAGATGGTGGAGGAAAAAAGCCCTGAATCCAGTCTATAGTGATTGATGTGGGTTTCTAGCTGTGGCTCTGATATTAACTTCTAATTTGGATAATTCTCTTAACCCATTCTGGGCCTTGATTCCCTTTCTACAGATATTTTCAGAGTACAATAGGTCCTTATTTAAAGTCATAAATACTTTCTGCAGCTTTAAGTGAAACAACATATAATGAAACCTGTTTTACTGTAGGCCAGTGATTTTCAACTGGTGTGCCACAAGAATTTTTAAAACATGCAATACCTGACTATTTAGTCAAGGGCATTGACTGCTTTTCCCTTAGATTGTCAAATGAAAAATAACAGCCGACACTACTAGAGCCATCCGGTGTGAATGACTTAAAACTATACCTATTTTTTTGTTGTTGTTGTTAGAATGGCAAAAATATATTTTTTGGTATTGCTGCAGAATTTTAGTAATTAGTTTATGTGTGCCCTGAGATGAAAAAGGTTGAAAATCACTGATATAGGCCAATTGATATAAACAGGGGTTAAATTCTTATGGCACTGCATCAATATTATAATAAAACAAAACATCATTCGATGACCTGTTGTATATTGGTTGTATAAATTGAAATGAGTTGTTGTAGTGTAGTACATTCCCTCTATTCTTCTCTGTTTTCTACTATCCCCCCAAAAGAATTCCAAATGCCTTATTAAGGTGTTAATGGGTCTTAGAATCTTTTGTCTCAGGAGACCTAGAGAACATCTAGTTCACTCTACCACCCATTTTACAGAAGAGGAGATCAGAGGTTTAGATCCACTATATTTGTTGACCATCTGTTGTGTGTGAAGAATGGTTCTGGGTACTTTGATATACTGTAGTTTATTTAATCCTCAAAAGAATCGTGTGAACTGGTGGATTATTGTTATCCCAATTTTTAGAGAAAAGGATGTGTTGATTGAGTAAATTGCCAAGATTTATGGAGTTGCTAAAAATCAGAGCTAGGATTTTATTACAAATACATCTGACTTCAAATCCAGTGCTCACGGCACTGTACTACACCTGGATTCTAACTGGAATTACAAAACAGGTCTTCTTATACCTCATCCACATTTTATCCCCACTGTGTAATTTTCTGATTCTATTGCTGAGACAGATGGTGAAAGATAATAATCAATTCTTGACTAGGGGTAGTTCATCTCAAGACAAACAGGTGTTTAGCAGAGTGTTCTTAGGAAAGGATTGGTTCTTTTTTCCTGAGCCATCTGAGCTATCAGAAAAAAACATGACTTTCTTCCAAAAGTTAACAAATGGAATTAATTTGTTACAAAATCAGCTAAGTTGTATTCATAATAAAGCTTTTCATTTTCCACACTGGAAAAGTTTCCAAGCAAAAAGATAAATTGGTAAAAATCATTAGACTGAAATTGCAAAAATAAAATCTATCCAACTGACTGATGATATTGTATATATTCTTGTAAATACACTACTTTCCTATGTAGTAGCAGGTACAAAGTTTTTGAAAATGCCTTACTTCAAATAAATGACTAATGTGCCTGTGGTACTTATTAAGTATATGTTTACCACTCACTCATGAGTTATTTGTCTGCCAGATAGCTAAAATCCTTCCAACCTTCAGTTAGAAAAGTCCAAGTAGAACACTAAAGGAAAATTTATGCCTACTAAAATAAATTACTTGTTCTGTTTTATGTTTGTTCTCAAATTTAGAAAGGAAAGGAAAAAAGTCTTCATTTTATATGTCACTTGATCATTAAAATGAAGTTGGGTCCCATGTTCCAAATGAAAGATTATAAAATGAACTCTGTGTTTATTTCTTAGAAACCTTACTTAAACTTGATCATGCCAGCAATTGACATATTTAGCTTTTGCTTTATAAAAATGACATGAAATCATTGGGAGGAAAAAAGATTAAAATTTTTGGAAAACAACATCACACAGTGATTTTATGTCACTTCCATAAAGGGGTTTTGTTGTTGAAGTAATGCAATAATTAACAAGGCCTTTCTATACGGACTTTTGATCATTTCTTTTTTAGATTCAATCAAACATAAAGTCTAAGAGTTATTGAGATTAAATGAATGATGTAACGGGAGAGTGAGATCACCAACATGGAAACAGGTTGCCCCTGACTTTGTGCGCCCTCAGAAGAATAACAACTATTCAAGAATAAGACACCATTGAGAAAATTCTAGAACATGGGCGTGAAGCTGAAGCACCCCTCCACCCCCACACCACAAAGAACAAGACAGACTACATTAGAAGGGTAAGAGAAGTGGCTCCATGTTGACCACATTGCCCATTCCTCATTCCTGCACCATGCAGAGGTCTCCCCTGAGCCTCAGCTTCTAGTAGGAAGAGAATCCCAGGGGGAGGGAGTCAGCACTCCCAGCATTGTGGGTTGCTTTGTGAGAGCCCCTACTCAGATCTTGCACCACAGGGATTTTAGGGGAATATGTACGGCTCAACCACTGTGAATCTGACTGTGACAGAGAAGGGGGAGGAGTTTGCAACAACCAGCGCAAAGATCTTGGCAGACCAAGTTCATACCTGCAGTGTGTAAGTAGTAATCACAAACAGTTGCTTTGCTCATCTTCA